ATGAAGTTTCCTCTATCTAGAAGGGTTTCCCTTGTCTCTGTTAAGCAGACACAGCAAAGGGCTGATAACCTACATGCAGTCAGGGACTAAGCTGATTAAGAGCTAGGTTCTACTTATCATAACTTACATTCGTCTTCTGGTTCTCATCTCTTCCTCAGGAATGTCCCTCTCAGGCTTTCAATCGAGAGCCTTGTGGATCTCTATTGTCTCTGACCTGAAAGTCTGGGGGATTCAATCTGTCTTTCAGAGGTTTTTCCACTGTGCTCTTTGGCCTCCTATCTTACTTACTCCATTTCAAATATGACAAATAAGTTGAAAAGGAGACAGCCATGTGTTGAAGGCAGTTCCCACTCCTCAAGCAGGGCCTTGTCTTCTAGCTACCTCAAGAGCATAGGTGATTTTAGTCTACTGAATTTTTTTTAATTTTTTTTTAATGTTTATTTATTTTTGAGACAGAGAGAGACACAGCATGAATGGGGGAGGGTGAGAGAGAGAGGGAGACACAGAATCTGAAGCAGGCTCCAGGCTCTGAGCTGTCAGCACAGAGCCCGACCAGGGCTCGAACTCACGGACCGTGAGATCATGACCTGAGCCAAAGTCAGACGCTTAACCAACTGAGCCACCCAGGCGTCCCTGGTCTACTGAATTTTAGCCACCCACTTGGCTTCAAAATTGAGCATATGTTGGCATGCCTGGGTGGCTCAGATGGTTGAGCATCCAACTCTTGATTTCAGCTCACATCATGATCCCAGGGTTGTGGGATTGAGCCCCATGGCAGGCTCCACACTGAGAACAGGGACTGCTTGGGATTCTCTCTCTCCCTCTGCCCTTCTCCCCTGCTGGCACTCTTTTCATCTCTCTCCCTCTCTCTAAAAACAAACAAACAAACAAACAAAAAATCTAGCATATGTGCACTAGGTAAAAATAACCATGCATTCAGGGCTCCTAAAGTTTTCAAATTTTTGCCAACCCCCCAAGACACCCAGTCTTTGTTAGTTACTCCTTCCCTCAGAAGAGTTCCTTTACGTGGGCTAACGTCAATCCTTGGCTCATACCTAAAACTGGCAAATAATCTCAGGGAACAAAACAGCTGATAATAAGCTGCTCACCTCACAAGGACTTTACTCTCCCCAGACTTTTAGTTTACTTAAATAGCTTTGCTTACATACCTTTCCTATGTCTTTAAAATATATCCTTCCTCATTTATCTGCTTTTTATTTTGTTATTGTAGCAGAAATGGTATTCTGTCATGGCCTACTATATCCTAGTTTGAAACAGAAGCAACCAAGTATGTGAGTGATTTCTTGATTCTGTTCGCTCCTTTTTTGAGAGCCTTTTATTTCTCCTCAGTGACATTTTGAAGGCTGCATATTTTCTGTTTTTCCTCATTTTTCACTAGCCTAAGGAATGATAGAGGCAGAAGTAGTGTTCAGCCGAGGAGACAGTTTGAAACATTTCTGGGTTCTACACTCTCTCCTAAGAGTTTATTATACATTGTATGTATTATAAGAAGATTCACTGCCTCTACTTAGACTATATCTCATTCAAATGGAGAGGGATCATTTAGATAATTTCCCCAGTTCACTATGTAGCACTAGAGGCTTCATTTGTGTGTGTATAAGTTCCAGGGTTATTTTTTACATTTTAACCAGATTACTATCTACTTGCCACTTCTACTATTCCTCTGAAAAGGAGGGAAAAAAATATTTTTCAGTTTGAGAAATATTAGTGATAATTCTCAGGATCTATCAACTGACTAGTATAATATCTGGGGACTGGGGCTATATTAAGTTGCTAAGTCATGCTGTGCATCTTCACTCTGAAATCTTCAGTTTCTTTCCTTGGCCATCGTTTTTTAAGTTATTATATCTAATTGCATTATTCTTTGTTGTTTGCTCTCGGTGAAGGTTTTTGCTAGTTGGTACTATTTTACAGTCATTTTGAGGGGAGAGAAATTCTATGAGTTAAACTCTAGCATTTTAATTTGGATATACTCAGAGGTTTGTTAACACTCTAAAGTTTAAAGTTGGAGGTCTAATTAAGAATTTTCTAACACCATGAGCACTGGACTGCCTGGCTACTTATGAAGATACCAGAGTTACAGCCAGTCTATTTTTCACACTACCTGAGCCCTAATTTTCACTGCCCTGGCTACTCTATGTTTTAAAGATCCAACATTTTCCTGATCAGCTCACATAAGTTATGAAATCAGTTAATGCTAATGATTATGTATGCATTATTTTACGTCTGTGTGACATACATTCAATATGGACACAAACATTAGACTCAGAATAAGGAAAAGACATGTACATGTGACTTTTCAGTTGTGCCTGACGTGCAAAATACTGCTAAACCACACTGAAAGGAATAAAATTAATTAATATACAAGGATAGAAGGAGGAAAATCTTTTAAGAAAGAGGTATGAGGATATGTGTATAAACTGCTTGGAATTGGGGGGTAACAATGAGGAGTGAACAATCTCAATAGCTTCCTATCAAAACCATCTAGGTTCAGAAGAAGATTCTGATTTCTACTGCAGGGGAACTTATTTGACCATCATGGACAAATTTCCTAATAAGCAGTAGTAGGAAAAACAACTCGAGGACTTAAAACAAATATGGTTTCACAAGATTTTGTGATCAGAGGGGTGTCTATTTTTATTTATAAATGAGGAAACTAAAATCTAAGAAAAGTTAATTTGCCCCATATAATAATGACATAGATATTTCAATTAATTATCATCTATGACATCAAAATTCTAAGTTCCCTAATATTTTCTACTTTTGAAGTGCTCTTCCCAAGACACTGTTTCAAGTGTAGATCATATATTCTTTCCATGACTAAAAAAAGAACTTTACGCCAAAAGAGCAAAAGTAACAGGATAGTAGGTAATAAGCTGTTAAACTACTTTTCCATAGTTACTTGGTAGTAAATATTTGTAACATTTTTTGCTATTCCAACAAAATACCGTACCTGGCTATGGTACAGCTGTGTATACCTGGCTAAACCAATTATTTTCACACTTTGCTTTTTTACAGTATATTTATCACAAACAATTCCTTCTCCTCTCCACTGCCATCTGGTTTCAGAGCTATGTAGACTAAGCCAGCTCCACTATTAAGTAACAGAAACAATGTGATTCTAATCTCAATAGCATTTAACCATGGCTTTGCGCACTGGTATAAAAGATTTCATAGTAGTTATGAGATCTTAGATAAGTTATTTTCCCAGGATTTTGGTCTCCACATTTATAAATGAGACTGGATTAGACAATCTCTCCTCTACTTCCCAAAACTTTCTAAATTTGTTTATAAATTTTATAGTAATTAGCTGACTCTTACCAATTTCTAAACAAAATAAAATAAAACACAACAAAAAAAAAGACCTCTCATTCTTCAGATAGACTTCCTCATTTTGATTTACTTAGTTCTAACAAAATATCCCAATGACCTTTAAATGAAAATATTAGTTTGTCAGTATCCATAACAGGTAAAAAATTAAAGAATTTATACAGTACATTTCTGTTTCTAATCAGGTCCAAAGAATGGATTTTTTTTGTTTGTTTAAAATCTTCTGCCTTGACTACAAGTACTTATGTAATATAACAAGAGGTTGACAAGTTTTATTCACAGAGAAATCATATAAAACTCTCTGATGTATCCTACAGGTATTAAGTACTAACAACTAATAACAACCAAAAGAAAGACAAGACTTATTAATATAAACTAAATGGGTTTTGAGTATGTAGATGAAACTGATGATAACTAAAAGTTTTGTGAACTGGGACTAACTTTCCAAATGGGAATATAAACAGCATACAAATCACAGTTCCTAAAATTGTATCAAGATGAATAACTGATAATTTAAAGGTAAATGTAAATTTGACATGAAAATTTTGTTGAACAAATGAATGAATTCCCAACCACAGAAGAGTGTATGCTAAATGAGTTAAGACCGGTTTCTTTTTGAAAAATAAGACCTGGGTGCCTGGGTGGCTCAGTCGGTTAAGCATCTGACTTTGGCTCAGGTCATAATCTCATGGTTCATGGGTTCAAGCCCCGCATCGGGCTCTGTGCTGACAGCTCACAGCCTGGAGCCTGCTTCGGAATCTGTGTCTCCCTCTCTCTCTGCCCCTGCCCTGCTCACACCCTGTCTCTGTCTCTCAAAAAGTGAATAAACGTGAAAAAAAAATGTATTAAGGAAAAAAGAAAAAGAAGACCAAGAAAATTTTAAACACTTAAAAAACACATTATTGGCTACTTACTGGCACAAACATTTGAAATGAGGACAGGAAAACTTATTTCAAACCAAATAAAAATATAAAGAATAGATCTAGTCAAGAAACAATGTGAAATATTCTCCATGTCTTAATCTACAATTAATTATAGTCTGCCATAATATCTTCAGAGAGGAACAAAATGGAATTTATATAGTCTCTCAAGATTTAGTTTAAAATGTGAGTAATGAAGGGTGCCTGGGTGGCTCAGTTAGTTGAGCATCTGACTCTTGATTTTGGTTCAGGTTGTGATCTCACAGTTCATGAGATTGAGCCCCATGTTGGGCTCTACACAGAGCCTGCTTAGGATTCTCTTTTTCCCTCCCTCTCTGCCCTCTCCTGCCTTGTTCTCTCTCTCAAAATAAATAAATAAACATTAAGAAAAATAAAAAATACAATGTGAGTAATGTAGATGAGAAAACCATGTCTTCTTCATTTTCCCCTTCATTCACTGAAAAGACACTTATTGAACACTTACAAAAGCAAGTGCTTATTCCTTCCCTTCTTTTAGGTCCAGCATATAGACTAAGCCAAAGAACAATGAGCCTAGGTTGTATAAAAGGAAAGTTTCAGTATGTCAATGTCATAACTCATTTTCCATTCAATTCCTATTGTTCCATGTATGATATATATTTATAACATCCAGATCAACTTTCTATATTTATATCTTCTACAAATAAAAAAACATTTTTATCATTTTTATGACAGTACATTAAACTGTACCTTAGTTTTTTTCTCGTGCATTGACTTATGGATGCGTTCTCTTAGGGGTTTCATTGATGAATTATTCACTTGTGTGGGAGATCTATGTCCAAAGAAAAGCAAAAATCTATAAACAAAAGTAGCTTTTTAACTTGTTTTTGCCCCTCCCCTACCCCAAAGCAGTAATGAAATAAAAAGACAACTAAATCTTGTTGTTTATAATACTATATAAAAGTGTCAGTATTACTATTGAAAGTTCTAAATATTAATAATTTGCTATGTTAATTAATACAGTCACTACATATTTGAATTTCTGATATATGTAAGGTACTGTGTAAGATATTATGAAGGACAGAAAGTAGATTCATTCATTGCCCTGAATTCAGGCATCCTGAAGCCTAAAGTACAGGAAATAAGATACCCACACAACTAAAATTTAAAATAAAAAAGGACAAGAGCCATAGCAGGGGAATTCAAGAGAAAAATATAGTTTAGAAATAGGACGGTCAAAGAAGGCACAATGGAGAAAGAAACACTGGAGCTTTGGAGCCAGACAAACCTGGATTCCTCAATAAATTCCTTTCTGGCTTAATAGAGCCAGAGTCATAACCTCTTTAACTCAAAAGACTGTTATATAAGAATAAAGAATAGTCTATTCTAAGAAACACTCGTTTATAACCTTACATTGACTTATATTCATACACCACATTGTCCTTAATTTTATCATTTCAATGCAGACCACTAAAAATTCACTTTACCATGAATTGGTACTTGTCTGCACAATGACAATTGTAAATATTAAGGTAGCTATAAACAATTGAAATATGTTTGGCCCCATGATTGAGAAAAATACTTCTTTAAAATGGATGTAGGGATTAATTTTGTTTAAAAAAAAATTCCATAAACACAAAATAACTTTCTCTACGAAAATGGTAGAATTGAATCTGAGAAAAAAATTAATCATTTATGATGTTACCTAAAAAACAAACTGTGCTGAACAGAAGTAAGGTAAAAGAACACAAAATAAAGGTTCAGTTCCTTTATACTTTTTTCATAAACCAGTGATAAATTTTCATTGCTAGGAAAATATTTGGACAATTTTGAGGTAGAATATGGAAGAATTATATCATGCCCAGATATAAAAGAATAATCACTGAAAGCTGGTGAAAAGGGTTTAAATAAATTGGAGGACAACACTGAATGACAGACCATTGCAAAGTTTCTCTTTAAAGGGAAGAGAAAAATAGAAAAGACCAAACAAGTAGGATGACTTTGTAAAGTTTCTCCACAATGTACTAAATACAATTTGAAATCGTTGTTCTAAAGTTTTACACGTTTCTATAAATGAATGCTCATTAATGAAAAATATCACCAACCTACACAATGTCTGACCTAGTTGTTGTTAAAAGTGGAGCATATCAATGTCTTGCATAGAATACTAACACTAATTTAGTAAGTGTTTGTCTTCATAATGTGAGGAAGAACCAAGAGATACCAATTCCAATTTAAGTTTGGTGTATATGCTCTCTCTGGTTCTCACGCAGAACAGCACAATCCTTGGAGGAGAGACCTTAGGTTTTGGAGCAAGACACTTTTGCTACTTGCTTAACTGTGCTCTCTTAGGCAAATTACTTCATCTTTCTCTTTCTCAAGTGTCTAATTCTTCACTTATAAAGTGGGGATATTATTGAAAGAGGTCGCTATGAGAGCTAATATAAGTGAAAGCAGTTAGCAAAGTTCTTGACATACACGACAAAGAAAATGAATATTTCCAAAGCAAAAACCAAGCACAAAAAAAAATAAAAACAAAACCAAAAATACCTGTCATACTCTCAGAAGATACTACGCTTTTATATACAACTTTCTCACATCCAAATGTTCAATCTCCCTTTAACTTTTGTCTTCTCTCTTCACACTTTTCTGTAGTCTCCAAGTTTCTTACCATAGCATGTATTTCCTTTTACTTAATGAGGTATTTTTTCAACATTCCCTTTATAGACTAGAGTTAACATTCACATACATATAACTTCCACAATACTTACCTAAAAAGTGTAAGAATAGAAATCCCATTATGATGAATTGTGTTTTCATCATCATATAAAAGCTCTGCTTTGTTTTTGGTAGGCAAACTGGCTGCTTCCTCATCCAAAAGAACTAGTAAAATTTTCACAGTATCTCTGCCACAGTATGCAGTACCATGGTTTATAGCATAAGATTTTGGCTAGAACAAAAAATAATATTAAGTAAATGTAATAATCACCTAAGTTGGGTCAATCAGTCATTCTTTTCCATTTCTTGTGCCACCATTCTCCTCCTCTTATAGTTTAAGTAATAAAAAAAAATCAGCCATGGGAAATGGCTTTAAGGCATGTAATATTTCTCCCTCAAGTCATACCAAAGTCAATCTTATCACCTTCCAAAGGCACAAAAGAATATAGAAAATAGTATCATCAGGGAAGACATTGGTTCTGATCAAAATAACATCCCAGGCTTGAAGTCAGAAAATTTAGTAACTATCTAGCTATGTGACCCCAGCCTCATGACTTAATCTCCTTGTGTATTTTTTTCTTTTTTATACCAAAGAGAGATGGTCTGAATACCAACCCCACAGATGGCCATAAAGATCTATTCAAATGCAAAAATTAAAAATGAGTTCACATTCATTCACTCAGTAATCCATTCATAAGTACACACCAAGTCCCAAGCACAGTGTTTGAAGCTAAGGCTACAAAGGTAAAAACCGCTGCCTCAAGGAACCCATAGTCTCCTAAATAAAATAAGAAAGTAACTAACAAGTGCATTACAAAGTACTAAGGGCTATTTATTTTTTAATATTTATCTATTTTTGAAAGGGAAGGAGAGAGAGGAGAGAAGGAAGGAGAAAGAGAGATAAAGTGCATACATGCAAGCAGGTGAAGGGCAGAGAGGGAGACAGAGAAACCCAAGCAGGCTCTGCAGCTGTCAGCACAGAACCCACCACGGGGCTCATGGGAGCTTGATGTCAGGAACCGTGAGATCATGACCTGAACTGAAATCAAGAGTCAGATGATGTTTAACCAACTGAGCCACCCATGCACCCCCTTAAGTGCTATTTCTAACAGAAGATATACATGGCATAATAGGAGCACACAAAAGGTAGTGAACAATTTACTCAGGAATCAACGATGTCTTCATAGAGGAGGAGACACATAGGGGTAGGAGAGACCGTGGTACTTTGAAGGATGAGGTAACATGATATAACTAAAGAACAAAGTAACAGAGAGAGTTATGCAGGATGAACCTGGGAAAGCTTTGTATATCTGGCAAAGAAATTATAAGTCAGTCTGTTACAGAGTTAAAATCTTTTGCTTTATTAAGCAAGGACATTAATGATTCTATTTAGATTTTTAGAAAAATGATGGCAATGTGTAAAATATATTCTAGGGTAAGAATGTTACTAAGTCTGGAGACAGGAACACAAATTAAGAGACTGTAATAGTCCAGCTTGGAAAAGGAGAAGGTAGTAGCAGTGAACTAAGATAGTAGCAGTGGAGATAAAGAAAAAAGCAGATTAGGGGCGCCTGGGTGGCTCAGGTTGGTTGAGCATCCGACTTCGGCTCAGGTCATGATCTCGCGGTTTGTGGGTTCGAGCCCCGCGTCGGGCTCTGTGCTGACAGCTCAGAGCCTGGAGCCTGTTTCGGATTCTGTCCCTCTCTCTTTCTCTCTCTTTCTCTCTCTCTCTCTCTCTCTCTCTCTCTGCCCCTCCTCCACTCACACTCTGTCTCTCTCTCCTTTGGAAATAAATAAGCATTAAAAAAAATTTTTTTAAAGAAAAAAAGCAGATTAAAAGAGGAGAGCTAGAAAAACTTAGTGACTCCACAGAATAAGGGAAAATATGTGATAATATAATATTATACACGGACACATGTAAGCACAAACCCTGAAGATATCTCTAGCTGGGTTTGATACAACTTACTAGTAGCAGGTGCTTTATAACTCTGGGCAAGTTCCTTAACCTCACTGTGCTTCAGTTAAATCGCTGGTAAAATAGGGGTAGGTAAAATAGGGGTAAACTAGGTAAAATGCCTAACCCATACAGCATGGTGGACATTGTGCCTAAATATCAGAGTCACCCTTTCTGAGACATCTGTTGTAGCTGCACCACTTCCCTCAGCTTCCATCAACTTGGTCTTGGCCTCCTTTCTCTACTTGGCTTGACCAAACTAACCTGTATAGCTGCACTGGAATTTTAACAAACTGCTTAGCACAATAATGATTACTAATCACATTGTATGTACTTATCACAATAATAATGACTTATCACAATATATGTGCTTAACATAGATTTTTCATTAGTACCAGAGAGAGAAGTCCACATTGTTTAACATTAACTTATTGAGAATTATTGGATAGTATTTTTCAAAGATTTCTGATTTGACTGAACACATAAAATTAAGAACCAGGTTGGATCTTTACTTGTTGTGACAGGAAATGGGAGAGACTGGTACTCTTAATTACCTGAGTTGTGACAATTCCTGACTTAGACTAATAGTAATAACGTGGTTCTCATTTGAGCCAAGCTAGTCACAGGAAGTATTAACACACGTGAGACAACCACATGGGGCACACAAGGGGCAACAACCCAGAATCTCCCCTATCTCCCCTATGTCCCACCTTCAAGTTAATGTAAAAACATGCATTGTTACAGAAAAGTAACTAAAAATGGTTCTGTGGATAAACGGATGAATAATAAAAAATAAGCAAAAGTCTTTCTTCATGCTCTGATTATTACAATCATACCTAATGAAAAAGAGCTTTTGTTGCTTGAGTAACTAAACTGCAATAAACGGATTATAACACATTCCCCAAAATTCTTTTCTAGAGCTGAAAACATGGTAGACAATTTCTCCTATAATACTAGTTTATTGTACCATACAGTGCTTGATTCCCTATGTTAAAAACAAACAAACAAACAAACAAACAAACAAGAAGCAGGTAAATAATCTGGGAATATATAGTTAAAAGATTTCTAAGTATAAGAGAAATTCCTAATGTTTGCAGTAGGCTGGTAAGAGAGGTAGAAAAGAACACATCATAAAGATTTTAAAAATTCTACTGAAGAAAAATAAACTGAATAGAAACCATTTCTCTTGCTGTTCCAGAGTACCTAGTACAGGGATCAGAACCAGAGAAACCTGGTTCTTATTTTATATTTGAGTAAACAGGAAAATAATGGTTTCATAAGAGTAATTATTGAAAAACATTACAAAACACCTTAATACCCATTAAGAATTATAAACTTCTAGTGCTACAAGGGATAGTGAAGATTATCCAATGCTTTCTTTAACAAATACACACAATTGGCCCAAAGATGTTATGATTTACTCAAGTCGAACATAATCCTATATAATCCTATTGAGAAACTTAAATTTTCAACATCTTAAACGCAGGAAACACATGCTTATGACTTAAGTAGCAATAGTAAACCATTTCTATAACAAGTAGAAGCGATAATGTTCTGTATGGAAGAATAATGAAAAATAAAAAGCTCATTACCCTTGCAGGACTGATACCAGTGGTACCAAGAATTACATCTCCTTGTTGAGAATTGATAATATTTTTAATCCTCAAATCCAAATCCTGAGCTACTTCCTCTACTGCTTTACAAAAAGGATCCCTGCTGTTCTGGCCTTTAATCAGCTGCATCTTTATCACTGAGAGTATCCGACCCCCTGCAATGCTGAAAATAGAAATAAGATCACCCTTACAATAGTATTAGAAATGACAATATGCTTATAAGCTTGAAAATATACTTCTCAGAGTGAATCAACACTTTTCAAAAAATAGGACATTGGTCTTATAAATCAAACTAACACATTTAAGAAAAGGATGAGAACCATGAGAAACAAAATTTAAAAGTTTTTCTGAAAGCAAGTCATTTCAATAAAGGTAAGTTATTTCTTCCTTGATTTGAAAGCTGAAGGGAAATATTTTAGTTATATATGATACATAATAACAGTCTCAGGTGCAGTTATACACACATAATATACTTAAAAATATGTATCTTTAAATACAAGGTAATAGAAACACTACCTCTCAATTTATACCTAGAATCTTGCATTACTTTAATCTTAAAATCCATTCACTATTATTATCCTTAAATCACAGATGAGAAAATTGAGTCTCAAAAAGGTTAAATAGCTTGTCCAACAACACAGGGTGCCTGAGCTAGGAAAGAGGTAGTGAGGACTGACCTGAAGCATGATATTACATTCTAATATGAGAATTGTCATTACGTGGAAGCAGAAATTAAGCTAGTTAATACTGATCTAAAGCAAACCAGAGACTGGACCAACTAACTATGTCCAAAAGACAAGTGTTTTAAAAAACCTGAAATCAATTACTTCTTTATACTAAGCCTGAGCCTGAATGAATTTAGGTTGCAGTTCCTGCTCTAGAAGGCTGACCTAAAAAAATGTGAGAAATATATAGGAAAAAGGAGTTTGATCTATTACAAGGAAGAAATTAGAGGTGTCCAACAATAGAAGAGGGCTCTTTTTTTAAGTCGGGAGATCTCCATTCCTAGAGCTATCCCTGGAAAGGTTGTGCAGTGCTGATTGAGAAGGTGGTATGGCCTGGCTATAAAGTCAGATTACCTGAGCACAAAATAATACCTGTCCCACCCCCTTCTACCTTGGGTATGCTGTTTAACTTTTCTGTGACTTTTTTTTTAAATGTTTATTTATTTATTTTGAGAGAGAAAGAGAGAGTGTGTGCCCATGCACATGCGAGGGCAGAGAGAGAAAAAGAGAGAGGGAAAGAGAGAGAAACCTAAGCAGGCTCCATACTGTCAGTGCAGAGCCCAACACAGGGCTTGATCCCAAGAACTGTAAGATCATGACCTGAGCTGAAATCAAGAGTTGGAAGCTTAACCCACTTAGCCACCCAGGTGCCTCAAACTTTTCTGTGACTTTTATAGTGGCATAAAGGAAATTATGAATTAAAGTTTTAATCCATGCTGTCTTATTGCCAGGTTTTATGTTTTAGGGAAAAAGCCAGGTTTCCTAAGAAACACTGGAAATATGATTGTTTACAATCAAATAGCTGGTCCAAAGAGAGATGGAAAGTTAGAAGAAAATTGCAGAGACACTTAATGTATGATTAGACCAGTGTCTCCCAAATTTGCCTAATTATCAGAATCATATTCAGCATTTGTTTAAAATATCAACTCCAGGGGCGCCTGGGTGGCGCAGTCGGTTAAGCGTCCGACTTCAGCCAGGTCACGATCTCGCGGTCCGTGAGTCCGAGCCCCGCATCAGGCTCGCATCAGGCTCGCATCAGGCTCTGGGCTGATGGCTCAGAGCCTGGAGCCTGTTTCTGATTCTGTGTCTCCCTCTCTCTCTGCCCCTCCCCCGTTCATGCTCTGTCTCTCTCTGTCCCAAAAATAAATAAACGTTGAAAAAAAAAATTAAAAAAAAAAAATATCAACTCCAGATCCTACCTTGTTGAATCACAAACTGCAGAAAAGAGTACTGAATAGCTGCATTGTTTTAAAAGTACCACAGGTGACTCTAACAACCACATAAGCTTGGGAAACATTTCATTTAAAAGAAAAAAAAGAAAGAAAAAGCTTCTTGAGAAAGGAAGAATGCTAATTTTTACACTACCAGTTTATACTTGGCACACAGAAGAAATGATTGATAGGACCACTATCACATGCGACAATCTAAATTTTTTTACAATAAGACAAAAGATACATATTTTATGATTATTCATATCGTTTGCAATACAAAAGTACTTAGGAGCTTTCCACCTTCCACTTACACTATGGTGGACTAAATACCCTGGGGGAATATCTCACTGAGTTTGGCAGGAATAGGGGGAAATCTCTAAATACCACTTAATTTCTCCCCCAAAAAAGGAACAGACGAGAGCTGGAGTAGAAAGTTGGGAGCTACAAATGGGACGCAAGCAGAATGAATGGGTTTTCCTGAAGGCAAAGATCTCTAGCAGTACTTTGATCAGGACACAAAGCTCTGGGTGGGAGAAGGCAACCAGAGAATTTCACATTGAGTCTGAACCTTCTGAGGGAGAAGGAACTAGTAAGGGTTGTATTAGATTTATTTTATGTATTTTATCTTTTTGAAGCTCTTTTTTAAAAATTGTTTTCCTATTTGGTGATGACAGAGAAAAACAATTGCTTATTGTTTACTGACCTTGTGTCCAGCAACATTGTTAAACACTACTATTAATATGAATAATTTGCCTTTAGATTTCTGGAGTTTTCTACATATACAATCATATTATCATCAAACAGAATTTTATTTTTTCCTTTTCAATTGTTACATCTATTTCTTTATCTTGCCTTACTACACTGAATTGAACATACAATATTGTGCTAAAAAGAAATGATAAGAGTAGGCACTCTTACCTTATCTTAAACCTTAAATAGAATGCTAAAACATTTTACCAGTAAGGAGGTCTGTATAGAAACCCTTTATCAGGTTAAAGCCTTTATTCTCAGTTCATTTGACACAGAGTGGGTAGCCCTGTGAGTGTGGATGTCCCAACAGACTCCTCATCTTAGACAGTCGCTAGGCTTTGTCCCTGCTCCCTCAGAGTTTACCAGCATAAGAACAGACTTTCCAAATCACCAAATACTCTCAAAATAAAAGCTGGCTTCCCTTCTTGACTTTCCTCTTTGACTTTCTTCCTTCCCCTAGTTTTTGGCCAGTATTTTCATTATAAATGCCTATTCATCAACGCATTCAAAAAGTATTTAAAAGATATGTATCCAGCATTATTAACTATTTTCAAGGGAAGGTTCAATCAGGAGACCTAACCTGCCATATACCTGTCATCAGAAGTCTGAGTAAACTCTAAGAATTCTTTTATATATACAATCACTATCTTTTTCAGTGGTTTTTCCTTGATTTTCAATCAAAAGCACAGAAAGTAATTGGATGAAATGAAGCTGAAATGAAAGCACAACACTATGTGCCTCTTCTGGCAAATAATCTAATGGAAGAGTTTTGTAAGATTCAAAAGGATAATAAAACATGAAAGAGTGTTGTAATGTCAACTATAATAACAAAAAAATGCTTTTAATGATATTAGGTAAAAGTCACCTTTGCCTCCTTTTCTCAATTCCTTCCTTCTAAAGATGATATAATTCCCTGACTGAATTAAATCAGGAAAAAGTGTGTAAGATTTGTGTTTCAGATCCTTGCCAAGCTCAACATTTTGACCTTCGTAAAAAATACCTCAAACACTAGTGCTGTGACTAGTCTATTGCTTGCTATACATTCTCTATTAGAGCCCAATTTAGCTCTTCAAAAATCTGCTCAGCAACATGGTAGTATAATCCAGACTCTTGCTTCTAGAGCCTGGAATCTCTGAAGTTGTAACTCAAATGACACCAGGATATTTGTGCTAGGCAATGGGGATACAATGAATAAAATATTTCTCTTTAAGAGGTCACAATTAACCACATGAGAAAGTGAGATACTAAAGGTATAAAGGGAGTTCAAGTGGGGAGGTAAGGGAAGAAAGAGTATTTCACGAAGGCATCCCAGAAGATACATTATGAATACTCTGGAAAAACATCAATAGAAGAATTTAGGGGTACCTGGGTAGCTCGGTTGGTTAAGCATCCAACTTCAGCCCAGATCATGATCTCACGGTTCGTGAGTTCAAATCCCACATTGGACTCTGGATTGATGATGTGGAGCCTGTTTGGGATTCTCTCTCTCTCTCCCTGTTTGTCCCACCTCATTCACACTTTCTGTCTCTCTCTCTCTCTCTCTCTCTAAGATAAATAAATAAACTTAAAAAAAAAAAAAAGGAAGAATTTAGGTGAAAAAGAGGTAAACTGTACCTACTGACTACCAAATGTATCAAATTAAAGCCCTGGGGCAGAAAGAGAAAAATAAAACTAGTGAGGGAAAACAATTAAATCGCCAAGGTGTAACAAAATATTGTGAATGAAGGAGAACAATAAGCAGCAAAACACAAATGGATGGTTATACTTTAGTGTATTTATTGAATATTCTTACTTTACTGTATGGATTGGCTTTCCTCTACTATCTCCAAGAATTAGAAAGCTATTTGCTAAAACACATTTTTAAAATTTAAATATGATTAAAAGTGCTACATAAGATATATCAAAAGTGCTTCTAGAATATTTTTAAATGATAAAAAATGTAACATTAGAATTTTGGACCAGAAAATTTCAACTAGATTTAACATTCTATAAATGAATAATAGTCCAATAAGTATAACTCAAGTACACATTTAAAAGTTGTGTCATAAATTTGAAATACATATTGGAATTTGCTTCCATTAAACAAATTGGAATTTGTTTCCATTAAATATTGGAACAATAGAGAACTAATTTATGTAACCTGAAACCCCTAATTTAAGATATTTTTCAGGAAAGTATATGCATTTTATGGTGGCACCTACTGGCAAAATGTAGAAATACAACCAAATTATAGCTAAGATGGCCTGATGAAAAGTTGGCAATGGGGAGGGAAGTGTAGGAATTGATTCTTTCATTTCTTCCCTGTCTGTTTGCCATCCTCCCTTTGATTCAAAGATTACTGTGTTTCCCTACTACCTCCCCCCTATTCTATTCAGTTACAAGAGTTAAGTACATTTTTATCTCTAAGTTTTAAGGTTGAGAGACAGGCTAGAGAAAGATGCAGGTAGGAGTTAGAGCATTTAGAATTTGTATATCAT